CCGGGATGAGAGACTACAGGCTGTCCACGGGTTTCAGAATGATGAGAAATGTAAACTGTTGCCATAGTTACCATAAAATAATGTCTGTTGAATGGAAAAAAGTACTTGATAATGACAATTCCTGCCTCTCATCAGTTAGAAATGTACTGAGATTTTTTGTTTTCTTTACGATGTAGGATGTAACAAGCCCAAAAAAAAAAAAAAGAAGACATTACAATAGTATGTTTTTTCATATTTGTTGAGTTGAAAATCTTAGAAAAACATGCCTTCTTACTATGAGCGGGCTTGCATCTCCACAAACCTGACTTCTCCCTGCTTGTTTCCATGGAAATGTTGTTCCTTTGGCTATAATTTTCCACATTATGGTATAAAACGTATCTGTATCCACAGAAAATTAAAGTATGGTTTTAACTTTTTATTTCCATACAATCCTACAGGTGATGTGCCGGCTCAACAAAGCTTTAAAACAAAGCGTACATTTAGTTTATTGCTTTAGGATAAGTGTTTGTATCAGAGGTACACAGTGGTCTGGAACTTGTCTGTGGCTATATAATATGAAGCACAATATCTTCATCATAAGTCAATGCCACAGACCTGTAATGATTACAGTGGAAATCCCAGGATTCTATTGCTCGTGATCTATAGAAAATCTGAACTAGAGCTGGTCTGTACATCAGAGATAATACTGGGGGGATTTTTTGTAATCTTCCAATCTTCAATCTTCCATATTGCATTGTTATTGAAAAAAACTGAAGTAGCCCGAGAGTGTAAAAATACGAAGCAGACATCAACACTCAACAAGATGTAATAGTATTGTCTAGTGCTTCTGTTGTAGGGAGTATTATACCTGATCAGAGGTGGGTAGTACTCAGGTTAAGTAACTTGTACTCTAGAAAGTACAAATTCTATCACTTTTCTAGCAGCATACTTTTAGTCCTACTTAAGTAATATTTTTATTGATGTAGTAGTAGTACTCTTTCTCTGCTTGAGAACAATTACGGTTACTCTGCCAGCTGATGACACAAAAATAAATCATATTATATCTCCTTTTGTAATTATTTGTGAACTTTACTCTAACACAACTTCATTTTGGGCCTTGCTAGATCATAAAAATCATCAGTGATAACTGATATTGGCCAATTCACTTATCGATCAAAACAACAAAACAAATATTGGATAGTGATGCTGGTTTCAAAAATCCATAGCAGACTATCCCTAATCTGGATATCATTAGAATATACTGTGGTCAAATATTGACAGACACAATGAGGTTAGTGTGTGTCCTCTGTTACCATGGCGACACACATGGTCATCCACAGACATAATTCAACAGGACTCATTGGAATAACTATTTTTACAACATGCTCCAAAATAAGCAGCAGACCTCAGGGATGTTCTGCACTTTCCCACTGGGCACATGTGACCCCTGCTGCAGAGAGGACAGAGCTGTCAGGAGCTGTATGAGGACCACTGCGCCTGGGGACTCTTCTCAAGCTCTCACACTGATATGGGCTGTGCCTACATACTAGTCTCCTCCATCATGTTTTCTTTACATGAATGGGAAACTGAGCATAAGTGATTTCACTTTATAGGACAGTTATATTTGATACAGATAAGGGCAGGTAATATTATTATTATTGTTAGAATGTATTTTCTGTTTTAAGTCCACAGTGTGCATTTAATTATAAAGTCTTTTATTGTCCGAGAAGCAGGAAGAGCACAGTTAGCATTCTAGTTGTTGTTAGCATTACTGTGACTGCAAAACTCCTCTCTTGCCTGTGAAAGTTAAGAAAAGCAAGTATAAACTCACTGCGGTGAATAAGATGCTCGGAATGCATAAGGTAAGTGAAGAATAGAGGTGTGCAAAAATATTTAGGAATCGATATATCGTATCATTTCATTTGATACAGTATCAATATCTTCGGCTGCTGTATAGATATACTGACATGAGCATTTTTAGGCATATTTTACTACATTATTTTGTGTAAGAGCTACAATCGTGTGATATTTTCACTGTTTTGATGAGTAACATGGGTGTTTTTCATATTAACTCTGCACAAACTTAGACTTTGTGGACTTTAAGTAGTCACAGTCATTTAGTCTTTGTTTTTTACTGAACTGTATGGAATCGATTTGAAATATATTTTATCAAACTGTACTGAATTGAAATGTACACTGTATCAAAAAATGCATCGTATCATGGCCTTTGTATCGAGGTATGTATCTTATCAGCAACTTCTGAATGACACCCAGCCCTAGTGAGGAATAACTGGAGCACTGCAAACTGTTTAAAATTAACTAGTTCTGTTTTTTCACATTTTAAAAAAGTCCTATATTAAAAAAAAATAAAAAATACTCTTGTGAGCTTTAAGTCATGTTAGAATGTTGTTGCCTCATCAAAAACATACCTGGAGTTGTGTTTTGTTTATTCACCCATGTTTGAATAAACCTTGACCTGTCTACATTTCCAAAACTCACACTCTGTTCCACTTTGTGATGTCATGAAGCGGGAGTTTTCAAGTGAACAGCTACCTTTAACATTTCATTCAGTAGTAATTGGAAATTCCAGGGCTGAAATTATCCAGCCAGTGAAGGTCGGTGGAATTTAAAAAACAGTAGAGCACTTCCTGCGTTACCACATGACATTACGAGGTGGAACAGAAGTTTTCCGTTTGAGAGAAAAGCTCACACCTAATATTAGTGCTGTCAAGCGATTAAAAAAATTGAGAGATTAATTAATTATGGTCTGTAATTAATTAATCTAATTAATCTCTTTTTTAATCTTACCTAAAAATTGTTGAGAAAAGCTTCAACTTGAGGTATTTTCATTTGAATTCATTATTACATTATTTTCATACTATCATTAACATTTTTATATAAGTATCATTATTATTACTATTATTAATCTGCATAAATAAACTCAACTTTACAAGACATCTAGATCAGCCCATTTGACATTAGAATGTGTTTAATGCAGTTTTGTGCAAGTCTCACAGAAACGAAACTTAAAAGCGCATGGTTCATTTGCATAAACTAAGTGGAGAAAAAAAAATGCTCTTGTGCGCTGATGCAGTTCATCTTCTAGTAAAGGACACAACTCAGTGGAATACAGATGTTGATGGTGAAGGTGAGTCTGTTCTGTGTCTGTGTCGCGATGTTTTCAGAGATCAGACGTGTGCAAGTTTATCACAAATGTGGCAAGAACGGGAATGAAAATTAGGCTACAATTCTTTGCGGGAGTGAGCGGAGCAGGACTGCACAGTGCGTGACTGTGTCCTAACAACACATAAAAACAGATTTTATAATAAGGCAACTCGCATACAAACACAGTAATGTTAGAGATTAAAAATAAGACTAACGCGATAAAAAAACATAACGTGCTAAATATGACTGTAATTAATTAATCGCAATTAATGAGATAATTTGACACCCCTACTTAATATGCAGAGTTTGTGTTAAACATGTATGAATGAAACATATAAAATGGTACGGTAGGTATTAGGGATGGGCATGATTAATCGATTTATCGATAACTGATCATTAAGAATTTCATCGATTACGTTAATTTTAATCGACAAACCGAATGTTGGTTGCTGTGCGTAGCGTGACCAAACAGAGGTCCGTACATGTAGCTCTCTGCACTCAAGGAGCGAGCAAACACAAACATTCGGTTAGTCTGCAGCGTACCGAAGCACAAATGCGCATTTAATGATGATTTGTACAAGAAATTCCACGCTTTCCGTTGCGTTTGGGACAAGTGTGAGTCCATGTGCACAGTGTACAAAGCAGGAACATATGTTTCGGTGTCCAGTGGGAAAAAGCTTTACCAGGTGAGAGTCGCGCAATGTCGATGACGAGTTCCCACCTCCTACCCCCCCGTACGGTGTCCTGGTTTTGACAAACGCAAATATGGTCACACTAACCTGTATTCCACTGAATCATGTCTTTTAATCCGACAGAAATTCACCGCATCAGCGCACAAGAGCTGTAGTTTTATCTTCGATTAGTTTATGCAAATTAGCGATGCGGTTTTAAGTTTCGTTTCTGTGAGAGTTGCGCAAAACTGAATTAAACACATTATAATGTCAAACGGATTGATGTGGCTCTAGAGTCGTTACGATTTATATGTTGTGAAGTTGAATTTATTTATGCAGATCAGTAGTGCAGATAGTAATAATAATGATGATCATTTTAATATAAAAACGTTAATGATTAATCGATAATCGATTGTTAATTCTTCCGACGATCGATTAAGAAAATTTCATCGAATGCCCATCCCTAGTAGGTATGTCAGATCAGACAATAGTGTGGTATGGTCTGTTTAAGGCTGCAAAAATCAGATACAGCACCTTTAACTCATTTGGGCAGGGCACTGCAGCCACTTTCCCCGTGTGTTTGGCATAACTTATTAACACAGAGTGACTAAGGCCTGACTAATAATGCATGATGCAGATTCTACAACACCTTTAATGTGGTAACCCGCTATGAGAGACAAACGCACCATTACTTGTATTATTAAACAATCCATTATGGCTAGACAACGTAATTGGCAGTGAAGCCTTGCCTCTAACCATATTACAAATTCATGTAGCATCCTACTCACACAACAACAGCTACCATTCAAACCATCAGACAAACACACAATGGACAATCTGTACTTCTATGAATCGACAATGCGCTTTCACGAACGCCGCAATCAGAGAAAACTCATTTGATCGTAATCATTTCTATTATGCGTCGTCCTACCTCTGAGTGTGCTGGGAGGCAGAGATATCCAATTACAATGATCAGACTAATGCGCAATTTAAATACAAGCTTAAATTCTCATTCTGATTCTTATCATGTTTTCAATCAGAACAGTAAAGAAACAAGCAGATTGGACTTAGCTAGAAAGACAGATGTTAGCATGACAGCGGTATTATCAACTTCCTCACATGTGCTGTTGCTAGATTGAAACATTGGGACAGTATGTTTCTCACTGGAGCGCACCGATACTGTACCTGTAAGACGACTGCTTCCTGAAGTGAATAAACTCTGCCTCAGTTTGGGACAGAGGGCCGCCAGGTTTGTGCCGATCCTCCCACTCTCTGCTCATCTGAAATACAAATAGAGCAGAACTTTAATCAGATATACAGTGGAATTCATTTAAAAGCTGATTTGAAACGAATAGTGTGCATCGTGAAGTTTCATCTTAAGTAAAAATGACATAATATTAATAAAACTGTACAGAAGTTAACTTGACAGGTAGACGTATCAGTTACATTTTATTCTAAACCAGTTAGATAAAAATTTTGTAAAAATGAAGACAATGGTAGAATACGTTGTGCTTTGTAAAAGGGCCTATATTACACAAAATAGATTCTTGTGAGGTAAGCCATGTTAGAATGTTATTAACTCCTCAAAAACATACCCACAGTTGTGTTTTGTTTCATTCACACATGTCTGAGTAACCTTTTATTATTAGTTTGTCTACATCTCCAAAGCTTAGAATGCGCTGTTCCACCTTGTGATGTCATTAAAGAGTAGTTTAAGTTAACAGCTCCTTCTACCTTTTGTTCAGTAGAGATCGGCATTTCCTAGGCTGAAATTATCCAGATAATTTAAGTGAAGGTGTATTGAGTTTAAAAACTCAGTGGAGCAAGGTGAAACAGAGTGTTTTCTGTCCGAGAGAAGAACTCAGTCTAAATATGCAGGATTTGTTTTAAACATGTGTGCATGAAACAAAACTGAAACAAAACAGATCAGAAAGCGTATTGGGGAACCTTTAAGACAACCAATAGACATGTATCTTCTAACCTATTATAAAGTCATAAGCCTACATGTTTTATCAAGAATTTCAAACCCAAAGCCATTTCTTTAGGTATGGAACTTCTTCCTGCAGTGTAATAGGCTAGAAGCCATCTGCGCTTATAATTGAATTGTTAGCTTTTTCAGCACTTCTCAGCCCTCGTAAACAGTTTGATTCAATGATTTTTAACGATCAATTTAAATCTGTGAATGTCCTGAGCTGTTCCTACGCTGTGAGCTTCAGGGAAGTAGCTCCATGCGTGGACAGGTGGCTGACAAAGTTGAGCAAACGCCCACCTCCGCGCTACTTTCCACCTGACAGCAGCTTCCGGGCTCCAGGGCGCTCATGGACGTGCTCTCCGCGGTCAGTGCGTCTTCCTCCTCGGCCACGTCCTCCAGCCCGAGCCGCTCCACAGCCGGTGCACCGGAGTCCCTCATCATCCCTGCGCCCTCCGTGTCCTCTCCGCGGCTTCAGCCAAGCGGCAGCCCCGCGCCTCTAGAGTGGTGCGCTCAGAAATGACCAGCCCCATCCATATGGCGCCTGTAACGCACGCTCCGGTCTTGTCCCAGCAGGTGGAGGCGCAATGTCCCGTCCTGACACTCACTCTACTATAACACTAAAGAATAACTGTAAGAAAAGACGGGACAGTCCAAGTAGTGTCCTCGTTTGGCTCGTGTTCAGACGAAAATGTTGCAGGAAATTATCAGGGAGTTCTCTGTCTGACCCCGCCCCCTCTCCCTGCGAGCTCCCAGTGCACCGCTAGAGGGCGCCACAGACACAGTGTGCTCTCTGGTTTAGTAATAATGGGTTTTCTGCTTCTTTGAAGCATTTTAACTGAATTAACATTTGAAAAAGACTAATAATACATATAAAAAGAGAAAATGAGAAACACAAATAATATAAGCAAGTGTGCAGGATCCTCTTTTTTGATATTTTTGTGAGGCATAAGAGATGATGTTGACAATGACCATATCTTATGAATGTCTGATGAAGGGCTGCGCCTGAGCAGTTATGGCCCCTCTTTGCAGGCTATTTTTAACCTTCAAATGATGCGTATACAATACACCAAAATACAGTAACCTCAGTAGCCACTTCATATGCATAAGGCAGAATTAATCTTCTATTCTGCTGGCTGTCCACAATTGTACAGATAGGAGCATTAACATTATAGAAGACGCATATGCATTTGAGTTTGTAGAGGTTTAAAATGAATGATTTAATAATAAGAAAGTGGACATTGTGTTCTCTGTAAAGCCCATTATATTGCTTGAGTAATTACAGCCTGTTCAAATTTCAAATCACTTGTAGACATCTTTGACGCTACACTGTACCTAATCATTTGTCAGTCTATATGTTATGAAAGCGGTGCCCTCTTGACCCCTCCACCTAACCTGCTCTTCCAAACATGCGGGTTACCGTGACGACAGCCTTTCACCACTCCATCCTTTGTGTGTGTCTGGCTCCCTAACCCCCAGAGAGCTGACTGCGCTGAACCAGGGCCAGGGCTAACCCCGAGCCCACAGCACCCACAGCACCCACATCCGGTCAGTCACACCCATCAGGCCTGCCCCTGCCTGGAGCCATATGCCTGAACCACTGCGCTGGGAGAGTGGATAAGCTCCACACTGAAGGGTCAAAGCCCACGGGGGTTAGTCTAATGCCAGAGGAGCTCACAACTTAGTGAACATACCACACATTCTATAGCTTCAGATCAATACTATGGTTTTATTTTAGGGATTAAATGTGGTGATTAATGTGGTTAAGAGCCTGTCTAGGGACTGGAAGATTGCTGGTTCAAATTCAAATCCCTGTTGGTTAGACATGATCCCCAATACTGCTCACTCCAGTCATTGAAATGTGGTTTGTTTTAGTAAAACAGATAGGGCACCTTATGTAAAATAAATGAATAAAATCTGGCAAATGACTAACTCCCCCTCCTTGAACCGTCACCTTATCGTGGTGGAGGGGTTTGAGTGCCCGAATGATCCCGGGAGCTATGTTGTCGGGGGCTTCATGCCCCTGGTAGGGTCACCCAAGGCAAACAGGTCCGGGGGGACGGGTCAGATAAAGAACGGTTCAGAAGCCCTATATGATGATGTCCACTCAGAGGCCAGCGACGTAGCCCGGATTGGCGTCACCGGGGCCTCACCCTGGAGCCAGGCCTGGGGTGGGTGCTCGTCAGCGAGCGCCTTGTGGCCGGGCCTTCCCCCACGGGGCCCGGCCGGGCTTAGCTCGAAGGAGCGACGTGGGGCCGTCCTCACATGGGCCCACCACCTGCAGGAGGATCCATATGGGGCCGGTGCAGAGAGATCTGGGCAGCAGTCGACGGCGGGGGCCTCGGCGACCGAATCTTCGGACATGGAGACTAGCTCTGGGGACATGGAATGTCACCTCGCTGGGGGGGGGAAGGAGCCTGAGCTTGTGCGGGAGGTTGAGCGTTACCGACTAGATATAGTCGGCCTCACCTCCACGCACAGTTTGGGCTCTGGAACCCAACTCCTTGAGAGGGGCTGGACTCTCCATTTCTCTGGCGTTGGCCGCGGGGAGCGGCGGCGGGCTGGTGTGGGCTTGCTCATTGCCCCACAGCTCAGCCGCTGTGTGTTGGAGTTCACCCCGGTGAACGAGAGGGTCGCGTCCCTGCGCCTTCGCGTCGGGGACAGGTCTCTCACTGTGGTGTCGGCCTACGGGCCGAACAGCAGTGCTGAGTACCCGGCCTTCTTGGAGTCCCTGGGAGGGGTACTAGACAGTGCACCGACCGGGGACTCCGTTGTTCTCCTGGGGGACTTTAACGCCCACTTGGGCAATGACAGTGACACTTGGAGAGGGGTGATTGGGAGGAACATCCTCCCTGATCTGAAACCGAGCGGTGTTTTGTTATTGGACTTTTGTGCTAGTCACAGTTTGTCCATAACGAACACCATGTTTGAGCACAAGGGTGTCCATAAGTGCACGTGGCACCAGGACACCCTAGGCCAGAGGTCGATGATCGACTTTGTAGTCGTGTCATCTGACCTCCGGCCGCGTGTCTTGGACACTCGGGTGAAGAGAGGGGCTGAGCTGTCAACTGATCACCACCTGGTTGTGAGTTGGGTTCGCTGGCGGAGGAGGAAGCCGGAAAGACCTGGCAGGCCCAAGCGTGTAGTGAGGGTCTGCTGGGAACGTCTGGCAGAGCCCTCTGTCAGAGGGACTTTCAACTCGCACCTCCGGGAGGACTTCTCCCGGATTTCGGGGGAGGCTGGAGATATGGAGTCCGAGTGGGCTTCATTCTCGGCCTCTATTGTCAATGCAGCTGCTCGGAGCTGTGGGCGTAAGGTCTGTGGTACCTGTCGCAGCGGCAATCCCCAAACCCGGTGGTGGACACCGGAAGTAAGGGATACTGTCAAGCTGAAGAAGGAGTCGTATTGGGTCTTGCTGGCTCGGGGGACTCCTGAAGCAGCTGACGGGTATCGGCGGGCCAAGCGTGCTGCAGCCCGTGTGGTCACGGAGGCAAAAACTCGGAGCTGGGAGGAGTTCGGGAAGGCCATGGAGAAGGACTATCGGACGGCCTCAAAGAGATTCTGGCAAACCGTCCGGCACCTCAGGAGGGGGAAGCAGTTCTTCACCAACACTGTTTACAGTGCGGGGGGAGAGCTGCTGACCTCGACTGGGGACGTTGTCCGGCAGTGGAAGGAATACTTTGAGGATCTCCTCAATCCCACCGTCACGTCTTCCGAAGAGGAAGCCGAGGCTGGGGACTCGGAGGCGGACTCATCTATCACCCTGGCTGAAGTCACTGAGGTGGTTGGCAAGCTCCTTGGTGGCAAGGCTCCGAGGTTGGATGAGATCCGTCCTGAGTACCTTAAGTCTCTGGATGTTGCAGGGCTGTCTTGGCTGACACGCCTCTTCAACATCGCGTGGCGGTCGGGGACAGTACCCTTGGACTGGCAAACCGGGGTGTTAGTCCCTCAGTATAAGAAGGGGGACCGGAGGGTGTGTTCCAACTATAGGGGGATCACACTTCTCAGCTTTCCCGGTAAGGTCTATGCCAGGGTACTGGAGAGGAGAATCCGGCCGATAGTCGAATCTCGGATCCAGGAGGAGCAGTGTGGTTTTCGTCCTGGCCGTGGAACGCTGGACCAGCTCTACACTCTCCATCGGGTGCTCGAGGGTTCATGGGAGTTTGCCCAACCAGTCCACATGTGCTTTGTGGACTTGGAGAAGGCATTCGACCGTGTCCCTCGTGGTGTCCTGTGGGGGGTGCTCTGGGAGTATGGGGTTCGGGGTCCTTTGCTAAGGGCTGTCCGATCCCTGTATGACCGGAGCAGGAGCTGTGTTCGCATTGCCGGCAGTAAGTCAGACCTGTTCTCGGTGCATGTTGGACTCCGCCAGGGCTGCCCTTTGTCACCGGTTCTGTTCATCAAGCCAGGAGCTGGAGGGGGTCCGGTTTGGGGACCACAGGATTTCATCCCTGCTCTTTGCAGACAATGTTGTCCTGTTGGCTTCATCGAACCAGGACCTGCAATGTGCACTGGGGCGGTTTGCAGCCGAGTGTGAAGCGGCTGGGATGAAGATCAGCTCTTCCAAGTCCGAGGCCATGGTTCTCGACCGGAAAAAGGTGGCTTGCCCTCTCCAGGTGGGTGGAGAGTCCTTGCCTCAAGTGGAGGAGTTCAAGTATCTCGGGGTCTTGTTCACGAGTGAGGGGAGGACGGAACGTGAGATTGACAGGCAGATAGGTGCAGCTTCGGCAGTGATGCGGTCACTGTATCGGACCGTTGTGGTGAAGAGGGAGCTGAGCCAAAAGGCGAAGCTCTCGATTTACCGGTCAGTCTTCGTTCCTACTCTCACCTATGGTCATGAGCTCTGGGTAGTGACCGAAAGGACGAGATCGCGGATACAAGCGCTCGAAATGAGTTTCCTCCGCAGGGTGGCTGGGCGCTCCCTTAGAGATAGGGTGAGGAGCTCAGTCACACAGGAGGAGATCGGAGTAGAGCCGCTGCTCCTCCACGTCGAGAGGAGCCAGTTGAGGTGGCTCGGGCACCTGTTCCGGATGCCTCCTGGGCGCCTCCCTCAGGAGGTGTTCTGGGCATGTCCCACCGGGAGGAGGCCCCGGGGAAGACCCAGGACACGCTGGAGGGACTCTGTCTCTCGGCTGGCCTGGAAACGCCTCGGGGTCCCCCCGGAGGAGCTGGAGGACATGTCTGGGGTGAAGGAAGTCTGGGAGTCCCTGCTTAGGCTGCTGCCCCCGCGATCCGGCCCCGGATAAGCGGACAAAAATGGATGGATGGCTGACTAATTCTTAATGAAAAAGAGAGGCAGAATGTGTGAGCAATATGTAGGTAGGAAACAGGTGGTAGATGGTGACACAGTAGGCTCACCATTTGTCAACAGCAGAGCAAACCTGAGCCAGAGTGCAAATTATTATTGTGGCCATGGAAAAACACTTCACACACTTTGTCCAACTTGGTCACGGGCACTTCACCTATGTACCTGCTGGAATAGGAAGGACATCTGACATAAAAAATCTTCCAAATTTCCAAGACTACATTGTGTTTTATACTGAAAGTGTCATTTTAGTCTTTGAAGAAAATGATTAATTAAATATTTATTAATTAGTTTTAGTCAAGATTTGTTTATGGTCTGGTTTGGGGCGCTGGGACTGAAGAGTGAAATTTAAATCTAGTAGGTAAATTGCACAATGGGGTATTAACTTGATTTTATTGATCTACAAGGGAAATGATT